GGCTCTCTTTTGGGTGGGTTACGTGTGTTCTCTGAGCATGCCCCTTGGATCAGGCCTGGCAGGCTAGATAAGCAAGAGAATGCCTAGTATAAGAATCCCACTGGGCCTTAGGTGACTTTTGAGCATGCCTTCTAGCACAAACATCGGTGCCTAGGGCATTTAATTGCCTTCAAGGTTAGGTGGCAGCTAAACTAAGATTTTGAGGATCTCAGTTGTACCTAAATGTTGGACTTAGGTGCCTAAGTCCCTTTGTGGCTCAAGCCATAAGTAACTCTGCATATCCTGACTCTAGTGTTGGCTGTTCCAGACTGCCAGACAATAGGATTTTTCCTATTCTGTTCTCTGATACTATTTTGTTGGTGCATTTCTCTTCTGCTTAGTAACAGCCTGAGCTATTCTGATCCTACATTTCTGCCAGCAACCACTTCTAGGGTGGTTTTCCATAAGTGGACAAACCCTTACAGTAGACACACCATTCAAAAGAATGCAAAACGTTTGTCACTGGTAACCTAACCTCCCACTGGGGGCCTTAGCTCCAGCATTGAACGGCTTGCAGATTAACCACTTTTGCCAGCAAGCAGCTCTCTGCTGAGCTGTGGGAAGAAGGTTGTAAGCCTGCTTTTGTGAAGGTTGGTCTACAATAAACAGCTGGTACATGTATATGGTGAATTAACACCAACTAAAATCCCCCTTTTATGCTTAATTGTCACTGTAAGTAAGCATAATAGATTTAGTAAACATGTATACAGTACAGCAAAAACTTGCTCAACTGCACATACAATTAAAATGGATTTTTGAGCAGCAGTGAAATTTGGCTGCTATAGGTAACAATGCTCCCACTAAGGGAGCATGGGGTCCGCTAGCCCCTCCTCTTGACATGCAATAGCACATTTTCAACTGAGCATGTCTACATCTAAACTTAATCAATCCATTGTACAGCTGCTTTCTGTTCTGAGGACTGCTATGTTGATTCTTTGTTGAGGTTCAAGTATCTCATCCAAATCAGGCAGAGTGAAGATTTGAACCCTGGTCTCCCCCATCCCAGGTGAGCGCTCTAACTCCAGGGCTGTTGGTTAGCAGCAGGGTGGGTTTTTTGTGGGGGAGGAGGGCATATCTACTGTCACCTCCATCTTAGGGCTGAGCAGGAGAGAGGCACTTCCCATTTCACTCCTGGCTAGCTGAGGTAGCTCTCCCTCAGCTGGTTGGGTTCTTTGAATCCCATTCTTGGGCACCTAACTCTCCCCCTGTGTTGGACAGGGGGTCTAGCCCTCTGACTCTGGATTCCATGGGGAAGGAGTGAGCCTAAATCCCCGTTGGGGGCCTAACCCTTACTGGCTAAAGCCTTTTCAAAACTGGCCCTAAGGGTGAGATTTTTGAAGTGTGCCTAAAAGATTTATCTGGGAGCCTAATCTTAGGCCCCTATTTTTGATAATCTTGGATTTGAGCCTTGAAAACTAACAAAGCATTAGATGAGGAAGAGGAGTTTGCTACAAATTACCCACCAAGAGCTATTAGGAAAACAGGGCTGCATTAGATATCTCAGCGCCTAAAAGAAAAATGGACCAGACTTCCATCTTAATGTTTTCTCTGCTTGCCTGCTCATTCTTGCACAGACAAATCTAGGAATTAGTAGTATCAATGTGGAGTTAGAAGCTTGTCACAGGACCCACTTCAGCTAGTTTGCTCAAGAATTGGAGGTTTATTAAGAGAGTGATTGTACCAAGTGATAGTTTCTTTGGTATCACACATGCTTCAGCGGGTGGTAGGTTTCCCTAGAGAGAGAGAATAGTGTGTGTGTGTGTGTGTGTTGATGCTCTTATTTTAGAATTAGCTTGGTGTTTGGTATAATTTAATCAATCTACTCTTTCCCCTAACAGCTAACATGTGCAAGTGTTTAGAGAAGATCTGCAAAAGAGTAAACAGAGCCAAGGGAAGGCTGTGGGGGGGACTAGTCTGTGGTGTATAGCAGTTGTAGCAGATAGGGTGCATACTGTTAGATGGCTTAATTCCCCAAAAGCAAACACAAAAAAGTTGGGTCAGGGAGGTTGGTAGTAGCAACCCTAACTGCTTCCCAGTGAAAGTGTTAGCTTTAGTATCCCTAAATATACCTTGCATCCAGGAAGTGAAAGTCCTAAGATTGTAATAAGCAGTAGTAGATAGGGATTGAATGTTTCCCATGCACTAATCTGTACCTTATTCCATAAGACAGGGGGTCTGCCAAACAGGGTCAGTGTTAGATTTCCTGGGGCCCAGTGCAGAAAACTGAACCCCTGTCACCAGAGGCTGAAGCCAAAGCCTGAGCAACTTAGCTTTGTGGGGGTCCCTGTGGCATGGGGCCCCAGGCAATTGCACTGCTTGCCCTTAATGCCAGCCCTGGGTTTTATAAGCAGAAAACCAGTTGTGGCACAGGTGGGCTATGGAATTTTTATAGCATGTTTGGGGGGCCTCAGAATGAAAAAGGTTGAGAACCCCTCCCATAAGAGACCTATACTGCTGCTCCAGTTACTACTCACTGAGTTGTCACCATTGGGAGCTGTCTCACTTCCCAACCACAAAAGAGATAAGTACTCATTCTACCCAGCCAACTGTCAGAGTCAAGCAGAGTTGAAGGTCCCTCCCAGCTGGGTGACTAATGCATTGCATGTCAGCTGTTTGTTTCTATCTTGTGGGGGTGGCAATAGCTGTGTGATAGATTACATGTATCATGCAGCTTTGCCTGTTTTACCCAGTCTGCCCTCTAATCCATCTCCCTGTGACTTACTCTAGTATGACCATTACCACATCATCAGAGTTCCTCTCAAAATCCCTGAGCTAGGGAACTGAAACAAGTTAAATGATCTGCCCAAGTTGAAATTCAAACAAATTATTTTTTTACTTTAAGCCATTTCTTAAATTGACTTTCCAGAGATGTTATTCTCTCTTTTCCCAAATAGCATTGGGGGAAGAGGCATTAGATTAAATATAGTCCCCCATCCTGTAAGTGTGACCTTGTATTTAGCTATATTAACATGGTTTTCAGTTTGAGGCAGAAATCTTGTAGGGTGGCACACTGTTAAAAGTACAGGCAGAGTTCAAACTAGTGTGCAAGTCCTCACAGACAAACATAAGCAGGGGCATTTCTACTGATTTCCCATAGCACTAGGTCAAGAACAAGTCCCTATTAAGTGTCTGTCAGTGATCTGGAAGGAAAAAAAATTCATTGTTAGGTAAAGTTTGCAGATCACAAAAATTAGTGTAGTGGGAAAGACAAGTCAGTTCTATACAGAACTATCACCTGGTAAACTGGGCTCACTTGAACAGCAAGTATTTAAATGGAGCTAAATGCAAGGTAACCCAGGATGGGGGACTCTATTTGGGAGAGTGGTGACTCAAGAAAGGATGGAGTGAGGTCATGGTGGTTCATCATCTGCACATGAGGACATACAGCAATGCTGCGGCTAAGAGAGCAAATGCAAGCCTTAGATGTATAAGCAGAGGAACAGTGAGAAGAAGTTGGGAGGTATTACCATTGTTATGGGATTTGAGAGATCATTACTGAAATATTGTTTTTGAAGTGTGGACACAATGTGGACAAATTGGAAAAGGTTCAGTAAAGATCTACAAAAATGATTCAAGGCCTGGAAAACCTGCCTTACAGTGCAATAGTAAAGCAACTCAGTGTTTATCTTTAAAAAAAAAAAAAAAAAAAAGTTAAGAGGGGCCTTTATCATGGTCAGTAAGTACCTAAGTGGGGAGATAGATGCCTCTTTTCTAAATTAAAAGACATGAGCTGAATATAGACATTTGGATTTAAGGAACACTTAATAGCGATGGTATTTAAGATTTGGAGCAACTTACCTTGAAGTGTGACGTCTTTCTAAATGATATGCTTTAGGCTCAACCAGAAGTTATGGTTTTGATGCAGGAACAATTGGATTAAGTACTATCACCTCTTTTATGAAGGTGGTCAGACTAGAGATGATTGTAGTGGTCCCTTCTGGCCTTAAAAATCTGTGAATGTCTGATAACACCAATAAATACTACACTTCTGCATCTTTCAGAATACAGAAGAGCTGTTGTGTGATGCTGTTCCCTGAAACTTTGTGTGCATTTCTTCCAGCAATGAAGTCACCCATTGCCTATGGACAACATGAGGTTATTCATGGAAGTACCAACTTTCAGGAAATAGTTCAGAGATAATACAAAAGAAGCTGACTATACCAGCCTGGGCCCCCGACCTCCAATTGGATCCAGCCCCATGGACATCAATAAGATTCATATAGGCACTAGCTTCTGACCACCTGGATCCAGTTGGCAGGTTCAGGACCCATGCTTGTAGGTAGGTTTTTGGACAACAGTAAGAATGGAATATGTGCCTCTAACTTGCAAGGCTAACACTGACCACTGCAGACCCATTCAGTAGCTCTCAGTAGGAAATGGAGAAAAAGAGTAAGGGCCCTTTAGGTCAAATGTCTGAGGATGAGCCAGCCCTACCTCTTCCTCATTCCCAGGATGAGATTGACAGGTGGTTTCAGGTGCATTTAAAAAAATAAAAAATAATCCCATCTTTTCCAAGACACTTAGAAATGCCGGTGGGTGAGTAAAAGAATCATGTTACCCATAAAAGTGATGTTGAGCTGAAGATCTATAAGCTCCAAACTATGGATTCACCTTGATAGAATTCTTAGGATTGTTCTAGGTGCTATGAATTCTAGTCCTTTTAAACTAGAGATGTCTCATGCTAAATTACTCTTAACAGGACGAGTGATGTTTTATTACAAAGCTTTTATTAAAAAAACAAATGCTCAGCACATTAAATCAAACTGGAATGACAAAAAAAATTCAGTTGACAGTATTTTTGGCAAAGGCTGTGCCTTACTATTAAAAAATGGGTACATCGATGCTCATTTCAGTAACTGGCATAAAATCCCACTAACAGGCTAACAAAAACAGATACAAATACAGAACAAGTGAAGTAAATTCAAGTGCTGGGCTTTTTTTGTGTTTGTTTTTACAAGGGGAAGGGGGGGTGAGAAGAACTCACTGCAGTTGAATTTACTGGATGTATTGCTTATGTTTACAGAGTGTAAATGAAACAGGAGTGACATGTTTACTGACCAGCTGACTGTGGTGTTACATTTATTTAGTTCTCTAGGACACTCTATTACATAGACTGAGAGGCCACTATTTGTTACAAATAGTTTAACAAAAAGCCACATTTTCCATACAGGTTTTTTTTCCTCTGTCAGAAAAAAAAAAGACAAAAAATCAGATACTTGAAGCTTATTTAAAAGCTCACAACTAGTAAAATATACACCAATGACGTTAGAAACTAAAAGTTAATATAAAAGCGTTCAAGTTTCTTAAAGCTAAAAACAAAATTGATCCTTTTGCACCATTAAATAAAAATGTTTGAGCGTCTTCCTCAATCAGATGAATTCCATTCTTCAATGTGCTATATGAGGGTAGCTATTAGTCTACGTTATTCAGTTGGCTGAAGCAGGCAGAGACAGCTGACCTACCTGTTGCCGACTCAATATGCAGACAGAGGAGAGAAAGGTGAAGATGAAAGATGTTCTGCTGACCTGGGAATGCTGAACTGCTCCTTTTTATAATCAGGTTTGGGGTCCTGGGGTAGTGAAGGGTTTTGGCAGTGATTGTCTTTATGATTCAGTGTCTTTAGCAGTGACATCATGGTGAATTCGACCTCCTAGAAAGACCCTGGGGGTGGTCTGTACAGATGAAGGACACACCTGGGGTTTTAACAAGCTTCCATTTCCAGAAGGGGTCCCGGCGTCGCTGCCTTTGCTTTGCATGTTGAGAAAGCATTTCTTTTCCCACCTACAGAGGGAGGGGGGGGGAAAAAGTGTCAACCAAAACCAATTTGCTTTAAGCAATGTCCAAGGAGCCCTCTGAACAAATACACCTTAACCTGTCTTCCTCTGGGGAAGCCTATGATGATAGTCACAGTAATCTCATGGACCAGCTGCATTAGGGGAGTGATTTGGGAATAACCTGAGTTCTAGCAGTGCTTTGGCTTATGGTGGACGCCAGTTAGAATGTTCAGGGCTCGTTTTATATATTCACCAGATTACTTTGCATTATTAACATTTAATGTGCCCATAGCTCTAGAATGGGCAAGTCACAGTGTTAGGCGATGTCTACACTGTGCACCTTATAACAGTGTGGCTGTGCTGCTGCAGCTGCATCATTGTAAGGTGCTCTGTGTAGCAGCTCAATCACTGGAAGAGAGCGGTCACATGACAAACTAAAACTACCGCCAACAAGGGGTGGTAGCTTTGTCCATGGGAGCGTGGCTCCCGTCAACGAAGTGCTGTCCACACTTATCAAAACTTTTGTCGTTCGGGGGGGGAGCAGTGGTGGATGTTTTCACACCCCCTGAGTGACGAAAGTGCCAGTGTAGACCTAGCTTTAGAGAAATAATTCCCGTTTGTGGGGGGCTTTAGTTCCTTGCAACAATTGACCCAGAAGTCTGTTAGAGGATTAAACATCCTCACACCTCATTACAACAATAGTAGGAATCAATTAGAACTCCAGCTTGGTTGGTGCCTCACACCCTACTCGATTTAGGCTATGTCTACACTACACAGCTTTTTGCGACATGGCTGTGTCGCCACAGCTGTGCTGCTAAAAGTCACGCAGTGTAGTGGCTGTTTGGCTCTCCTGCTGACTAAAAGCTTCCACCCACAACGAGCTGGCAGGAGAGCACTCCTGCTGCCAATGCACTGTTCACACTGGCACCTGCTGCGGCAAAACTTTTGTCTTTCAGGGAGGGGGATTTAACACCTCTGAACGACAAAAGTTGTGTCGTTCAATTGCCAACGTAGACAGCCTTCAAAATAAATAGTCTTTTTTAAGCAACTATGGGGAAGGCCAAATGGGAGGCTGCTTAGCAGGGTCCTCTGAACCCGTGCCATAGTGTGAAACAGTGAGAACAAGTTGTCCTGTCTGTCAGCTAGGTCATTCAGAGAATACTGTCAAATAACTGAGCCATGTGGTCTCTGACTGCAAATTTTGTAAGGATCTTAGGAATAGCTAATATTGTGGCATGCAAAAGGTCACCAGTGCAAGCCTTAAGTACTGCTCATTCTCCCTCCAGAGATAAACAATCTTGATTTTTATAAGTCTCTGTATTACCGCAACCTGGCTAACCCAGCTACCCCTCTGAAACAGAGACCTATGTAACTGCTGATTCAACAGGCACTCGTGCCCTCCTGACCCAGACAGCAGGATTATAAAAACCCCTCCCAATGCTTGTCTAGTGAGTCATGCCACAGTGCTAGATGGTGAATCAGGTATTTTCAGCATAAAAATCACACTTCAATAGTGAGCTCAGTGTTGTTATGCCATCAACATCTACGTGAACTGTAACCCTTCAGGTACTGTACAACTGCCAGTCACTTAAACTTTCTCATTAGAAGAGCTTTTAAAATGATTGGAAATTATATCAATCACAGATTTCAACAGACTTCATAGGTAATCCAAAGATTTCTTCAGCTGTCCGTGATAAGAGGCAATATCTTATTCGACCAACCTCAGAGAGGAAAAAAGCTTTGGTGCTTACACAGAGCTTCTCTGCAGGGTCTGGGAAAAGGTACAGTACAAGGTGGAACACATTGTTTAGCATAAGCAGTTAACACAATTTCAAGGGATGACAGAAGGTGAAGTTGCCAGTTAACACCTCTCCAGTCATTGGGGGGGGAGGAGGGGCAAAGGAGAGAAAAGCATGACAAACACTAAAGAAAAGGTGGTAGTGATTTAACAAATGAGATAGTATAGCACCTTAGATCAGGTAAGCCAAGAGATAAACCCTTTTCAAACAAATGGGTTTATGTGGTTAGTTTATTATAATATATGTCAAATCAGACATCAGGTTAGAGAATCATATTGCTGAGTGGCTCTATCATGTCATCAGAGCTGTAACTAAAGCTTAGGGTGCAAATATTTAGCCAGTGTGCCAGACTTGAAAATGTAAAGTACATTCCTGTCAGCCCTTTAAATTGAAGTCTCATTATAGAAGGTGTTTGTACAGTGCATCTTGGCTATTGGTTAGACCAGGGGTCGGCAACCTTTCAGAAGTGGTGTGCCGAGTCTTCATTTATTCACTAATTTAAGGTTTTGCGTGCCAGTAATACATTTTAACATTTTTAGAAGGTCTCTGTCTAATAGACAAAGTAAATAAGGTTTTTTAAATGTTTAAGCAGCTTCATTTAAAATTAAATTAAAATACAGAGCCCCCCGGACCAGTGGCCAGGACCCGGGCAATGTGAGTGCCACTGAAAATCAGCTTGCGTGCCGAAGGCGGCACGCATGCCATAGGTTGCCTATCCCTGTTTTAGACAGTGGTTGACTTATTACTTTTAACTGAGCAATTATACAAGCTAAAGCTCTCTGGGGACCAAATCCAAACACACACCGAAATCAAGACATTTCTTTACTTTTAGTGGTTGCAGGATCAGGTCCTAAATCCCAACCAGTAAGTTGAATTATCAAAAGAGTCTACTAAGAACCATTATTTTGGTGGAAGAGAAAAGGTGAGGGAGGACAAACACTGAGTAAACAAGGCTGCTTCAGAAAAGCAGAACTGCACTAGAATGAAAATGCAAATCCTGCTGCAAAATCCATTCAGATGTTTAATTTGAGGGAGAGCTGACACATTCTGTATCACCCTCCTCCCTACTTAGCTGAATAAGGGAAATTTGCACTTGGTGCTGTGCTTGGTAGTCACAAAAACAGCAAGTAAAGCGGTTGTGCCCTTAACGCGCAAAGTCAAATGCTCATTGCAAAGAAACAGCTGTTTCAACAGACATGGTCTGTATTGACTAATTCAGTTCCTATTTCCTTGGAAAACCATCCCAAGCCCCAACTAAAAAAAGCCTCTTCAGTTTCCTGCATTTTTTTTTTAAAGTAGCACATTGCTCCATATCATACAGGGATCAAAGAGTTATGAAGGGCTCTACCTTTCCAAGGAGCACGAAAGAGGCCAAGCAAACAGCAGAGGAACACTGGTGAGAGCACCCTGCAGATTTATATTTACTTTGTGCCTTTTCATCCCAGATTTTCAAAGGTTTGGTCCAGGTTGCTCTTCCTGGGAAGGTTTTCCTCTCAGTCTTACATGAAAACATTCAGCTTCCTGTTGAGGAATGGCCTTGAGGCGCCAGGCCAGTAGTTCACAGCAGTCTGATACAAGAGCTGTGATTCAGAACTACTCCCCATTAGCAGCCACCAATGTCTACTTCACTGAAGGAAATGAAATGCTCTTCTGTTGAGATGATTCCCTACCTCCTCCCCCTTCCCTTCCCAGCAAGCTGTCTTTGAAGTCAGGAGGTTAAAATAACGACCACGGCCTTGCTCTGGCCTTCAATTTTTAAACGGGGACCTTTACTACTTTCTGAGTCAAAGTACAACTGTAGCAATTTCTGGCTCACATTTTCATAACCTCTCCCCATTCCTTTTTCCACCAATAAAAAGAGGCTGCTTACTGGATTCCAATTGTACAAAGGGGTGTTAAAAAGGAGGCCTAAAGTTATTGTTTCCAGGGTAATACTACAGAAAATTACACAGTAGTTAGCCTGAAAATGAGGGCTAGGATACAGTTTCCCCCAGCTGCCTATATTTTAAAGCTACAAACTGAAAGTAACTTCTACTGCTGATAGACCAAGCACTACCTTTAAAAAAACCCAAACTACTACTATGGTGTTGCCTTAAAGATCTAAAACAGGTCAAATCAGGATTCTTTTCAAGAAACCACAGGCATGTGCTAAGGAGACTGAAGACTTCCCACATCTGAGACTTCGCTGGGGGGCTGCAGCTGAAGTCTGGCCAAGCCAGGCATGCCCCAGCAAAGCCCAATCCACAAGTGAAGTCGGCGCAATCAAAGACTGCAATTACAGTTCCCTGGCTGTGGTTAGGCTTCAAAGAAAGTGCTGCAAGTCACATTTTACATATGTGAAGTCTTGAGCCTGAGCCACAGCCTGCCATTTGCACTGTACATCAGACTGCAGAAAATACACACCCCTCTCTGTCTTTGGAATACGTAACTTAAATGGAAATAAAATCAAACATAAAAAGCTCTTAGACTTTGATAAAGCTGAACTTCAGCAACTAGCAACTCCAGACTTGTGACTCACAACTGGAAGTTAGTTGGATGAAAAAAACAAAAATGATTTCTGCTTTCCAAAAAAGTGTGACTAAAGTTTTGCACCTTTTTCCTCCCTACTCCTTGCAATGAAATGGAATGAATACTAGTCCCTGGAGGCCTTATCACCCTCATCTTACAGAACATTACAAAATAAAGTTACTCATCTTCATGATTAAACAAAGTTTAGAGAGGCTGATGGGGATTATACAGAATCATCCAGTTCAGATCAGTTATTGGAAGCAGGGTGTGTAAGTAGCCTTACAAAGGAGGTGGATAAAGGGGAGAACTACTAGCACCCCGGAAAAGGCTATTTGAGAACAAGTGTGCTTTAAAATGGGCTGCATTTGCCTGGTTTTTCCACAGCACTTTGGGTGGGGCAGTGGAAAGAAGGGAAGGGAAGGGCGGGATTTCAATTGCAAAACCTGCTTTTTATTAATGTGTTTTGAATGTCATGTCAAACTATGTCCTGAGCAAAACTAATTAGAAATCCAAAAATGTTATTTTCTTTTGGAGTTTGCAGAACTACTGCTAAAGGCCCAACTTCTTGCTACTGTTTCTCAATATTAAAGACACAAGTAAACAGAAAAAAAAAAAATCAAGCTACTAGTACATTCTTAGACTGAAGCGTTTATAAGTCACACACACACACACCCTCTCTACACCCTGTCTATCCAGGAAA